CCTGGACCAACACCGCCCCCCTCCCTGCCCCATGACAGAGCGTCCCGGCCTGTCGCAATATCAACACCGCCCTCGAGGCGCTGGCCATCTCGTATGCCACCTCGGCACGCTTTTGCTTCATCTCCGAGCAGGACTTCCCCGAGAAGAAGTCCGCCTTCCACCCGGTGGTGCTGCCCTCGCTGGCAATCTACCACGGGGGCCAGGTGTCGGTGGTGCTCACTCGCCTGGGAGATGAGATCGATTGCCGGACCCCCTCGGCCGCGGCGCGCGGCCTTGAGGAGTACCTTGTCCGGCAGAAGGTCCTGGACTCGGTTCTGTTCAAGGTCCCGGTCAGCGAGGCCCTTGACCAGGTCCGGGCCCGTGGAGGCGCCGACACCGCCGCTGGCGATGACGGCGACAGTGCCGATGAGGCCGAGGAGGAGTCCGTCGGCCGACGGACCCTGCGCCATGGGTTTGGTCTTGGCATGGCCAGTGACCGGCGTTATTGACACCACGCGCCAGTCCCGATGCGCAATCTCTCCGCCCTTCCCGCCCCCGGAGAAAGAAACGCCCCTCCCCAAAGAATATAGACTTTAGCTGCTTTCCCAGCGAGGTGACGCAATGGGAGGAGAGGGAAAGGGGAGGGGGGGGGGGAGGGGCGAAAGAAGGACCACGGTGTCTTTTTGTTTGCTTTTTCATATGGCCGCCCCAAGCAAGGGATGCTAGGAAGACCCCGAGGGCGCCCTCCCCTCGAGCAGAGATGCCAGCGAGGCGGCAGCCTCGGAGAGGGCCGTAATGGACGCGGCCACCTGGGGTGGCTCGGGAGCCGACGATTCGGCGGGCGGTGCAGCAACGGCCGTCACCAGGGCCTCGGCGGCGGCGTGCGCAGAATGCACCGCTGTGTCGACAGGGTGCTCGGGCGCGATGACCGGGGCGACGCCCGATGCCGTGGTCGGCGGAACGAGGCCCTCCCGGGCATTGGGCGACGCAGCGGCCTGACATGGGCAATGCATGGAAGGTGCGGCAAAGGGGGCGGGAAAGCCGGGTCAGGAACACTCGGCCGGGCAAATGTCGCAAACGCCGACGACCCAGGAGGGGGGG